TTATTGTGTTGATATTTTATTTTTTAAACTGTTAAGACACTATGTTAATTGTAATTTATATTATTACTTTGATTGAATCAATCATTTGTTGTAAGTTGTTTTTATGTTTAATTGTTAAAACTCATTCACATTAATCGATTCAAGTAATCGATTTCTTACTTTATCCGTGACATAAACTTTTTTTTAAGATTTCTCGTCTTCCAGGTTGTGAATTGGGTTAATTTTTTTATATTTTGAAATAGAAAAATATAACGCTTTTTTTAAAACATATTTCAACTTATTACAATTGGGTCCAGAAAAGCCCGTCTCCTTTAAAATATATTTTAAAGGAGAAGAAAACCTCAATATACTGGAAGTTCTAGAGGTGAAAGGCAAAGAAAAAGTTTGCGCGTTTACCGCTAAAAAGAACCCCTTTGTCGTATCTCCTCAGTTTCAAGGCACTCCCCTTCTTGCCTCAGCCAGTATCGGTATCCTCGGAGTCGACATATCGAGTGACGTGCAGTTTCGTGGTCACTTGGAAGGGAAGGCCAAATTGGCCTCTAAAAAGCTTGGCGTGCTCAGCAGAGCGGGACAGTATTTCATGCCGGCACACCGCCTGCTACTTTACAAGGCGCAAGTTCGACCTTACATGGAATACTGTTCCCATCTCTGAGCAGGGGCTCCCCAGTGCCAGCTCCTTCCACTTGACCGCATCCAACGCAGAGCGGCTCGAATTGTCGACGACCGAGCCCTTTTCGATCGGCTCGATTCATTGGCACTGCGAAGAGATGTTGCATCCCTTTGCATTTTCTTTCGCATCTACCATGGGGAGTGCTCTGAGGAATTGTTCGGATTAATCCCAGCCGCCAAATTTCACGAACGCACATCGCGGCAGAACTCCCGATACCATCCACACCATCTGGATAATTGGCGGTCCACCACTGTGCGATTTAGAAGATGTTTTCTTCCTCGCACGACCTCCTTGTGGAATCGATTACCATCAGCGATTTTTCCGGACCGATACGACTTAGGGACCTTCAAGAAAAGAGCGTACTCCTTTTTAAAAGGCCGGCAACGCATCTGCGATTCCCCTGGTGTTGCAGTTGCTCATGGGCGGCGGTAGTCACTTACCATCAGGTGAGCCGCATGCTCGTTTGCCCCCTCTCCTATAAAAAAAAAAATAAAAAAAATGCGATTCAAATAAGAATTGGAATGTCAATGACCTCGAATGACTGCGATCTGTCAACTGTCACTTGAAAAGTACGGCTTGCAAAGAAAATTAATTTGCATATTAATAACGCTTATTTTCCGTATTAACGAGTCTTAATATTACGAAATCATGATAATGATGACAATGATAACTACTCAGACAGTGATACAGAGATAAGCGAAATTGAAATGCTACATTCAGATTAATACTTTTTCGTTCATGGTTCTTTTGTAAATAAATATTATTTCAAAAATATCTGTTTTGTTCACCCTACCTAACTAGTTTAAAATGACAGCTATGACGTCACAATATGGTCAGTATTAGTCTTATTTGAATAGCATAGTACCTGATCACTCTGCTATTATACTTTGCGATATGAATTTATAATTATAATTTTTTTACAATCGACTTCAATATAAGTTATTAAAAATAACTCAAAAACTATTGGTCAAACCATGATCAAATCAAAAAAAAAACAACACGAGAAGTACCAGCTTTCAAATAAAAGAAGAATCATCGAAATCGATTCACCCAGTATAAAGTTATAAGGTAACACACATTAAAAATACATAAAGTCCAATTGAGTACCGTCTCCTTTTTGGAAGTCGGCAGAAAACAATCAGTTTGTTATGGAGCATAAGTTATGATTTTAAATAAAATGTATTTATTTGTCTTTTGTGATTTAGATTGACACATTCACGTACGTTTAAAGTTTAGATACTTACATCTTCTGTCGGTTTTATAGTCAATTAATCAATTAATTGAAATATAAGTGAGTGTACTTCATACTATGTCAATCCAAATCTCAAAGGAAGATGAAGTTTCACCAAATGACAACAATCGCGTGTATAAACTAAGTTGTATATATTTGTTTTTAGCTTTATGATTATAGTCCAAATGAAATAAACAATTATATAATCAACCTAATCAGTTACTTTTAAAGAATTGTGTGCAATAACATAAGTTATTTATAGTAAAGCTTCTTGTAGTCGAATATAATCAGATAAACATAAGGCAAGTTTCTATTCGAATATAATCTGAGAGAAGCAAACTGGTTCTAGACAATTTGAACAGTAACGAAATAGAATGTATTATGATTCACGAACCCCCGGAACCCCCACAAGTTTAATGCTCGATACTGGAATACCCGCTTAGTTGAACAGTAATGAAACTCGGCGGTTTTCGCCGAAAAATCGAATTTATTTACATTAAAGTGGCGCAACGACTTTGTTCTTTTTATAATGTTATACGTAGTAAAATATTTCACATAATATGTAATTTTGTGAATATACTTTTTATTATAGATTATTAATGTGTATTTTTAGACAAATATATTATGTTAAAAAAGATTCTAATCTACGAGCATAATTACTTTGTTATACTATAACTACAATTTGTTATATTTTCTATTTGGTGGTTTAAAAATAATAATTTATAAAATAAATTATACTGCAAATTCTTCAGAAGCAACGAAAGATAAAAACTGAAACAGGGATTTCCGCCTTTACGCGTTTGCCTTCTTATAAGTACTGACAAAGTAACGTGTCTGAGATAATTTCTCCTAAAGAATAACAGAAAGGTAAAATAAATAAATAATATAAATACTATCCAATATATACATTATGTTGCAGTAAGGATTTATAGAATGTGCATCATTCTGAAAGTATAAGCATAAATTTACCATTGAAAAGAGTTTGATGTCTGAGCAGTAATGTAATATTTCAAATAATAATATTGATCATAAAAACTAGGCACGCAGTAATATAGTCTGAGTGGCGACCACATGTCGCAAATGGTTCATACATTGGCTTCACAATATACCAGATGTTAGCAAGGTTAATGCCTCTTAGTAAATTAAAATAGTGTTGCAAAATATTTGATGAACATTTAGAAATAAAAAAGAAATTCTTTTAGATAAGTTTCTTACCGTGTTTCCAACAATCATCCTCGTAAAAAGAAAACTTCTTCAAAATTTCCAATATATCAAATATCTACAAAAGCACTTCTATTTTATTACGTCTATCGCGAAAAGCAAAGACACATAGCAAGGCAACACTGATTCTTACAATAATATCGGCATATTTTATCAATTATTATCATAGCTATAAGTTTTAAAATTTTAGCAATGAAAGTCAGTAGAAACGTATGTATATATCCCGCTCACCCGCGGATCAAACAACAGAAGGCACAACGCATAATATGGTCCACTACATCGACTAGGTTAGCACTAAGTACTCGTAACACCAACAATGGATCGTCCATATTAAGTTCGTACTGGTCGGGAAATCGCCGTGCCGACCTTTGTTAGGGGCGGTCCAGATCACCGGCGCCAGCTGTGATCGTGAACGGGCGAGCGTGCGTCTAGCGTACGAACGATCGATGCCGGTAACAGATTTACATTTTTCCATCGAGGAAATCGGGAAAGTTTGTCACGTGCGTATAAAACCGGGCCGCTAGTACGGCGCGCCCGCACGCCAGTAGTGCGCGGCGGCGATTGAAGCCCGCCCGCCGCCGCCGTAGCCCGTAGCCCTAGCCTCCGACTACGGAATTCTACCGCACCAACTAAGCTTACACTGTCATTTACATAATCACTTAAGACGACGCGATTAAAACGAAAAACAGTACACCTATATCTAATTAACTATTGACGGCGCTATTTTTTCATTAAACGATTAAATAGTGTTTGTAAGAACCAAATTCCTTTACTTTAATATACATAATAATATTTAAGAAATAAATTCTTTATATCTATTGACAAACATTGGGAAAACATGATAGGGATGGCTGCCAATACATTTCGTAGAAGAACGAGACACATTACTCTTTAGTTTGATAGAAGTGAGATTTTATGTTAAGATCGTTAAGGTCTGGAATGGGACGGTAATGTTAAGGGTGGTTAGGGTTAAGGCGTGGTGTATGGCAGAGCGCGGGGTAGGGACGGTGTGAGACGTAGGAGTATCGATTTTAAGTCACCCCGCCCTCTAACCAAGCGATGCGACAGTGTGAGTGCGCCATTCGACATACGAGCGAGTCCTCACTGAGAGATCGTCAGCGGCACACAATCAGTGGACGCATATTAACACTGTTATTTATGTTAATACAAATATAACAGTAAATAATACTGTAATAAACGACTTCTCATACAGATTTTATAGCATTTGGATATTTACTCTGATATTGGAGTGTAAAGGTGAATAACATCGTTAAGCGAAATCTTTCCTTTATCTTATATACATTTTCTAATGGGGGAACGCAATACATTTCCAGCGCCTATTCGATTGTGTATTTCATTAAGTGGATTGCACATTCAACTTTAAAAAAAGAACAAAATATGAACTGGTTACTTAATTATATAATAACATATAATATTATAATGAAAATGAAAATATGTTTATTAATTTCCCAAGGCAAACTAAATAATACAGTGGTTGGAGCCTCCTAGTAAGTATAAAAGAATACCTGTAAAAAATATTAATATTATAATGATATGATACTTGAAAAATTCAGTTTGTGGATGGTGAGATTATAATTTATTTTTTGTGTTGATCTTAGTAAACTTAAACATGATGTTGTCCCACAAACATAGAACATACGAGTAGTATGTTTAAAAAGGACAGGAGGCAGGCCGACCACTTGTGGATTGCGACACAGGCAATGCTGTCGGAAAATTAACGACATACTTAAATGCATTCGAATATATGCGAATAAACAAAATAGATTTCAACTAAATTTTCGAGATGTGAATATCAAATCAAATAAATTGTAAGTAACTAGGTATTTTTATAAAATCAATAAAAATGTGCAGACTTACCTCTCATCGAGTTGCTGAAACTGCGAAGTTTGTTGATAATTTATGCGACGTCCATACAGTGAAGCACCTCCTTCAGACATGTATCCGTCCATCATGTCATTATTTCTCGCACCATCCATTTCGTTTACGTTTATTCTCCTCAAGCAGTCCCCGTCAGACATATATCCAGAAGCAATATCAAGATCACAGTAATCGGGGTTAGAAAAACCAGGAGCGTAATTTATTCGTTCTCTTAATCCAATATTATCTCTTCCAAAATTAGCTTTCACAGTATTAGCATGATGGGGATATCCTGGTATATTTTTTTGTGCCAAACCAGAGGTACGCATAGGTAGAGTTAAGTGACTATTATAGCCACGTAGAAGCGGTCTCATAGGCAACACGTTCATTAGTGGATTTTCATCTTCACCAAGTGAATTATCACGACAGTGGGACGGAGTACTAGATCGGCTGTCTGTTTCTTGTTTCTTATTGAATTCTGTCAAAGTTTTATTATGATCAAAGAATTGTTTATGGCCTGAACTATCATGACGCTTCTGAGCAGCTTCTTTTTCCGATATTTCCGCTTCATTTATGACATCGTTAATATAAGTAGCATTCATGTCCATGCGTTTACTAGGCGTCATGTTATTTGTTCTAGAAATTTCTGATCCAGATTCGCTAGAAGGACGATAAATGACACTACCGTCACTTGAATTGGATTGTTGTCCTGTAGTACTGTGAGTAGAATTTGAATGGGAGCTTTCAGACATTTGAGAAGAATTTTGTGTACCTACATTAATATTAGGCATGGGTGAAACGGCTAATGTTTGTTTTTGAGATATATCTTTACTTAAATTAGATTGTTCTCTTGTAAATGGATGTACACTAACTGTATTTGTAGAATTTAAACTCGAATTACTTTGTATTGGACTTAATTGACTATTAGTACTTTTATGAATAATATGCCTATCGTCTTTTGATATTTTTGAAGTACCTTTAACAGCAGCTGTTGGTTTTGGAATCCCTGTGTGATTTTGACCTGCAGAGCTTTGTCCTGTTGGTGATTGTGGTTGGTTTACTACATTTTTCGACTGAACTGTCCCATTCTCATGAGTTTTGATTTCTGAAGTATTTTCCGATCGTGATTCAGAGAGCTTCATTTGACTTCCTGACAATTTAACCATTTTTGTCTCTATTTTAGTTTTAGGACTTCTTGTATGATCTTCGATTATGTTTAATTTCGTGTTACTAATAGATTTGGGCGCAGCTATTTTAGATTCTTTATCTCTCGCTGGTAATTTTGGGCTATTATTTGATTTTTCATTGCCGCTACTTCTTACACTACTTTTATTTGAATTTGTAGAAGAATCTTTTGTGTTTTTAGAATTAACTAATTTTGATTTAACGATTTTCCCAGATTTGTCTTTTGATAATACATCGGCTTGCTGTCTTATACTTTTAGGTCCTATTAAATTGGAAGATTTGATATGTGTGTTTGTCGTATTGGAGGACTCATTTAGACTGAGACTAGAGTCTGATCTTTCACTTTTTGCTGAAGAAAAGCCACTTGAGGAACTAGTGCGTTTTGAAACAGCAGTACTTTTAGTACTTTGCTTCTCATTGGTAACTTTATCTTTATTAAATAGTTTTAATTTATCTAACATGGACTGTTTTGTAGGTGTTCCATTATGATGGGTAGCTTGCGAATGCTGTTGTTGTTGTGATAATTGTGATGGAATTTTACTACCAGGAACTAGTAAGGATGAATTCGGTCGTGATCTGTAAAGTAATGATATGTAATTTTTCGTTACTCATTTTTTAATTTAAATATAAAGTAGGATAAAAGAAAGTTTTTTTTTAAGTCTATGTTTAATTAGATTTTTTAGATAATAAAACAAGGTGCGTACCCGGAAGATGACGCTGGTACACGAGGTATGAAGCTGACTGCTCCTTGTCCTAAAGGACTGGTCGACCGACTGGAGCTTGCTGACAAACCACTTTTACCTGTGAAAAAAAATATTATTACGACAAACAGACAAGATTATAACGCCAAATTTCTAATGATTGAGGGACTCAGATTTAGACTCTTTTTTTAAATAAAAAATACTTTGATGCTTGTTTCTTTTTTGCTTATAATTACAGGATAGTTAATATTCATAAAGGTTGCTGTTCTTCTGCAGTTATAGGTATCTTCTATTATATATTCTTCTTCTAACTAATGGAATGCCTCGTATTCTGTGCATTGGCTTTTTTAACACATTTAAAACACAACCACAGCAGCCAGATCACGGCTGTTTCGAAACGTGAACGAATGTTGTACCTACCCAGATGGAATTTAAAACAGAAAGACGCTGATGTTCTGCCACTCTATTTCTTCGTTTTCACTCTATTCTGTTCTATTCAATTAAATTCACCGATCTGGATATTGAAGTTTAAGTTTTAAAAAAAAGGTATTACACCATCTTTCGAAAAGAGAAAAGAGTTTATAGTATTTCTTCCATTTGTAAATGAACTTAGTACATTACTACTACTAGTAATCAAGTAAAATAAAATAGATGAAATGAAATTTTATTATTATTAGAAAACGAAATTCTTAAAATGTTATCTCATATCTCAGCTAAGCAAATCGTATAACTTTTTCAAAGTATTATTTACAGAGATAAGTTCAAGCTTTTTATCGCAATACGGCACGGGTGTCAGCTCTGTGCCCACGACCTACTGCTCGGCTTATTGAACCCGAGATATACTTATATTAATGTTTGTATAAACTTACACTATAGTTACCAATTTTATTCGAACAGTTGTGGCCCTTATGACCCCATAAACATGTAAAATAACGAAGGGGACGTCAGCTGATTGCAACAACTCTAAAAATATTGGTCAGTCTTATCGATCCATAGCCATAGTCGGCGAAATAATAATTCTCACGTCACAGCACAGTCACATATAGATGCATGTGCGTGAATCAACCCTAAAAAGGACAGTTTTAAAGTTGTGTCCATATTGTTAGACGTAAGGCATAATTAATCTTTGTATATTATTAAAATATTTTTTTAACTGGCTTTACGGCTCTGGGTTCTAGGCCTTCTGAGCCTTTATTAAAATCATCATCATAATCATTACAGACTATCAAAAATATACTGCTGAACATGGCCTCCGCCATTGTCTCATGGGTGATATTTGCCATAGGTGTGATATTAGCCCGCCTTGGCAACCGCAGCTTTTATTATTTTGATACGGATAAATATTAATTAATAACGATGCCACCACGAGGCAAATTTGTCCTGTAATGGTAACGTTAGAGAATCCACTACCATATATTATCATCTCGTGGATGTCATGAGTGGTGACAGGAGAAAATGAAACACATAAAAATCTTAATGACACGTCCGTTGAATAATATCAATATTAAATGTTTTAATTTTGATAATATTATATTTGAATAATTTAAGTTGAATTTAAATGATATCTTAAATTGCTATATTTTAAAATGTCCAATCTATTTTAGTAAGAGAAAGTGTGTTTAATTTCATTGACTATATTAGGTTTGAAAGTAAGTGATATAATATGATAAGCAGATGATAGTTATGATAGCATTATAATGATATATTTAAATGTAATATTTCTATAATACTCCTAATTACCCATTTTAAAAAAAATTATAAAGAAATATTACTTAATTTAAATCTGTTGTCTACAATAAAATGCCTTTTGAATAAGATTACTTATTTTATAATTGTATTGTATGTTTCATACATAATTACAATATTTGTCATGTTCTCAAACATGAGCAAGTCGCCGGGGAGTGAATTTAGCAGACTCAATAAGCAATGACCAGCATCCGTTTTTTATTCGGGTCAATCCATCACATTCGTTGAGTGGTAGACTTACATCCTAATGTACTTGTAGATATTATAGGTAAATTAATGTCTGAAGTGGTATTGGGAATATACGAGCAGCATAAGCGACTACTCACACTGAAGGTAACAATCTTATATTAACACACTTATTAATAACTATCATTTTCTTTTTACCTATTACGTTCAAATCAAGAGTACAAAGTTACAGATTTCTTTACCCTTTATTTATACGTAAACGATAGATAAATAAAACTATTTAATTTATCTTAATTAGTACCACTTAATGATTGTTCCTTATTCTGTAAGTGAAATACTGATAATTAAGTTACTTACAATTTCTTTTATTTTTCTACGGTTCACTTACACTAAATTCACTAGTCGAATTTAAAACAAATAATTTTATTAATATTCATCACTGAGTCGTTTTATGTAATTATTCATCACTGAAATTAGTCGTTTTATGTAATATCAATGGATTATAACAAATTGAAATAAAATTTTAATAACAGATTTAAAAGTTTAAAATTTAATTGAAACATTAAAACAGCGCGCGTGTCGAGGAGTGCACGTCAACTGACGATGCATGAGTCGCAAGCGTTACACAGTACACACGATAAAACAACGCCTAAAATAAGTCTTAATATAATCAAGGGATAAGTACACATAATGATCATTGCATATAAAATTCTCGATGTAAAGTTAACAATGAATGTAACTTAAAATACACTTTAGTATATTAATTTAAATTCATCGGTAAAGTTTTTATTAAAATTTTGTTTCCTACTGGATTCTTTTTCTGTTTGTTCATTTAACCAAAGTTAACATAATGTGAACAGTTTGTCTTCGTTATATTTAATTTTCTTCTGTATCTATACAAACATAAATTGCACAAGGACAAACATCCAGACCCGGAATAATTATGTGCAGACCATACAAATACTTGTTACGTGTGGGAATCGAACCCGCGGCCCCCAGTGCAGCAACTCATAGCTAAGCCACTGCACCACAGAGCCGTCAAAACAACCTAATACTTATAATACTTTTTCGTAATAAAATTTTTGTTTATTATTTTATAAAAAATATTTATTTTAATTACGTCTTCCTCTACGTATGTACTTAATAACATTTTTAACTGTTCTTTTTTTTTCTTTTAATCACTATCTGCACTTGAACGTGAATTCCTTTGGGATCCATTGGGATTAGTATTAATTAAACTTAATTGACGTTGTCTAATCGAGCGTAACACATTCTTTTAATAACTCTGTAAAGAGACACAACCTCTGCAATACGAATCAAAAAATATAGAAAAGCCAATGGCTTTGCAAAAGTTTTCTTTACAACTTCTGTTGGTTTCGATATTGTTTTTGTTTCACAGTTACTGAAATTTTTCCGTTTAATAAAGTTTTCAAATAACAAAAAAAATCTTTACAAAAACATTTAGCTACTGTGTAAATAACATTATTTGGTTTTTTTTTTACAATTATGTTATATGATCATATAAGTAGCACATTTATGAAACGTTCAAATGTTAATGAGTCCGGCACTTGTATGTATATGTCTCGAGTGATTGTGGTCACACCTTTGTGGCGTTTGCACCACCATTGTCTAGGACTTATTGCATATGATGCAATTATTAAATATGAGATGTAAGAGACTTGTAGTGCAAAAGCATATTAATTAAAATTTTCTATCAGACACAGTTCTTAAAATTGTATTATGATTTTACTTTTATTTTAAAATGCACGCAAGTATTATAAATCTAAACGTTACAACATAAATAAAATTAAATTTTTAATTGGTTTCTTTTTAATAACCTAATATATCAAAATTAATTTTTGTTGGTTCGTATTTTATGCGCTGCATTATATATATTACTGCTTTATGTTCATCAGATTGTGCTAAAACTTTGTCAACTTATTGCTTGTACTTGTGCGGAGCTGCGGAGGTTATAGGCAGTACAATTAACTTAGATAGATGGCGCGCGTATAGTACCAACAAATTTATTTGAAAGTTATACATCATTCAACTCCAATAAATTTATTATCATATCTAATAATAAAAGTTTAGAAAATACGGGGCGTTTGAAAACTATTGCCATACCTACGTACCATTTATTCCGTACATTCTGTTTGAATTTTTAATTGTTAGTTAATCAATTTCACTACCTATTTTTTTTTTTATTTAGTAATAGACTATATATCCACAGTGATCTCACGTCAATTTTAATTAGATCCGATTATATCTGAAGTGTGTTATTATATTTTTTCAAACAAGGCAGTAATCGATTATTGAACAGATAATTTTAAGTTTATTCGTGTAATTGCGTTGCACGAGAATCCAACAAACCTATATATTCTTATTAAACACGTAAATGTTCGTAAATCATCGTTTCCAATAATATACCTTAGATTAAGGATTCAGCTAATAATGTAAAGATAGACTTGTTGATATAGAGTCAGTTGTCATTCAAATACTTATTGGAAACTTTCAACTTGCCGTATGGTAACTGCCCCTGCCCCCATGGGTTTCTTAAGAGGCGCCTATGGGAATAGCTTGACGATATAGGTAAGTATTTGCTCCAGTACTATGATGATCACTTACCATTAGTATGTTATAGCTATCCAAAACATTTTAAGCAATAAATAAACATATTTACCTAAAGCACCAGTGTCGCTGTATTTGCATTATTATAGAATCTATTACGCTGTCAGACAAATGACAAACACAAAAATCTAATACAAATTACGAATGATAAAAAGAACAAATATTTTTGTTAATGTGATCATTACTAGAGTAACATCCAGTATTATATAGATAATGTGTAATCTTTATTAGTAACATAATTATAGGAACACAACCGTTATCATTAAAAGGCTAGTATAGTTAATTAAATTACTTAAACAAAAATAAACCTTTCTAAACAAAAGCTGAAACCTAAAACGGCTTTTAACCCATTATACAAGTAAATACCGTCAAATATATCAAATCATCTGATGTAGTAATTCATTACAAATACTGATAATATTGACGTAGATTACTATCTACTGAGAGACTTAGCCGGTAGAAAGTATAAGATGGTTCATGGCAAAAGTCGAATAGCAATTGAAAAGAAAGATATTATAACTAAAGACATTAGGACCCATAATAAATACTTCAGGCTGGCAATCGCCTAAAAATTTTGCAAAATGCTAGCTAACCGAATTTGATCCTGGCACAATGAAGTATGATATACTCAATTAATTATCTCCCCGCATTGCAATTTTAGGTGCTTAATTTAGATTTTAGACCATGCTAGAAGGTTAATGCGTGTCTGATGAAATAAAAAATATTTCGGCATAATATCTGTATAAAGTCGTCAACACGAATTGGGCTGACGTTGCACTCTTCCTTGTCCTCAAGCCCTCTCAAAAATTAGAGAGGCCTATTGCCAGTTAAATCATATTATGTACTCTTCTTACTCGATTTTATTTTACAAACGACATCATTGTGACAACGCTAAAGTTAAAATAATATTCATATAATCAAAAAAGGCTGAGTCCATGACATGATGAACGACAAAAAGAAATTAAAAAAGTAAGATAGCTGATAGTATTAGTCTTTACTAATTAGAAGAAATACATTAACACTTTCTATAATGTCAAACTGAACTTTTTTTTAATAGGATAAGGGTGACAAACGAGCACACAGTCCACCTGATGGTAAGTGGATGCTGCGGCCCATAGACATCAACATCTATCCTCTGTTACAAATCAAAATGTAGATGCGCTGTCACCCGTGAGGACTAAGATGGAATGCCTCATTTCCAGTAAAAAGGGCCTCCGGCCACCTGCACTCACCAAGCGAAACGCAGAGGTAAACCTCTACTTCACGCTGGTTTTCTGTGAGGTCGTGGTACTACCCCGGTTCGAGCCGGCCCATCCGTGCGACAGCAAAAGCTGCCGCGTGGCTCTACCACTGTTAAAAACTGCACGTTCTCCCTGCTGTTTGATAGTAGAGGTTCTAATTTCTGAGTGATGAAGGAAAATACAGCCAATAATTTCAAGCCACATCCTATAGACTGCAGATGGGAAAAGATTGCGCTTAACGCTATCATGAATACTGCCCATGATTTGAATATTGCCGAAACCAGTTCACTTGAGTGTTGGGAGATTCTTCAAAATGTCTCACCTGATATGGGTTTAACGAAAATATAAGCGATTGTCTGTTTCCTTTTATGTTATACGTTATTGAAATTCACACTAATCGCCATCGCCTTACAATGCGCAGATTTGTAAGCAATTTTTACAATCCACATACTTATCACTTTGTTTCTTGCAAAAAACTTGTTAAAAGTAAACAAAGGCAAACATTAGTAATATATACTAAATCTGGTATTGGCTTTTGTAAAATACTTTATCGGTAGATTAAATAATTAGTAGTGAAAATAAAGGTACAAAAATGACGAGATAAATTCGTTTTCAATAAGACTTTTGCTTGTACTGTATATAACTAATAGGATGGATTAAACATTTTGGACTTTACAAAATATAGAAGTTGCTTTGAGATATTAAAATAAAGAAGCAGGCTAGAATCACCTATATGTGCCACGTAATCCACTGTTCGGCTTTAGAACATATGATGCGAAAAAGAGAAACTGGAACAGAAGATGGGCAGCAGAATCTGAATCTTCCTGATTGTTGCCTACCAAGCGTGTCAACTATGGCAAAATCCCTATTATCGGGAGGCCTGTTTTCAACATTTGAAATATAGTACTACTAGACTTATAGACTTATTAATGAATGAAATCTACTGATATAACCAATGATAAGGCATTTACTAGCTGCAGCAATTTAAGGCATGTAATTTTTTAAGACTTAACACTGCTCCCCAACACTAGTAAATTAGATTTAGGTTCAGCAATTTCTAATATATTATATTGTTTTCGCCATTTGTCAGTTGCAATTAAAGCATTGTTCGTTAATTAGCAGAATGCCGATGAAGTTCAAATTTCTTTTTCGTTCTACCTTCGCCACTTTCCATAAGACAACATCAAAATTCATTTGTCGCCATATACTTTGGCATGTCTATACTTTTTAATAATTTGAGAGTGCCTTAACACATAACGGTAGTGATTAGCGTAACAGTCAGAGATCAAGGTTGTTACCCGCATGTCCCGGCGTGGCGGGCAGGGGTCGCTTGTCTGGCGGGGCACGACGTACCGCCGCCGCCGACGCTGGCAGCGGGATCGAAGTCTGTAGCACCGACACCTGCCTGTAAAGAATAATCACATTGAGTATTGACAGACCGATCAGTGAGATTTATTTTTAATGCTTTTCTTGTGTTTTTTTTTTTAGAATAAGGGTGACAAACGGACACACATTCCAAATGCTGCTAAGCGGATGCTGTGACCATAACATCAAAATGCGGATGTGTTGTCATCCCTGGGGACTAAGATGAAACGTCTCGTTTCCAATTAGGTTGAAACCTTCAGAGGTTAGTTTAAGAGTTCACTACACTCACCAGTCACCATACGAGACACAGCAGCATTAAGCTGTTATTCACGCCGGTATTCTGTAAGAGCGTGATCACTCTCCGGTAGAGCCGACCCATTCGTGATACAACAATAATAACTGCAGCTTTATTATGGTTGTAGCACGAATCGGTCGGCTCTACCACGTAGAAGAGAAGAGTTATTCTGTACATCTTCATATACAAATAGTCTTGTGTACAGCAGCCGCCTTCGTGTACCATTTCGCTCCTTGCAACATTCTCAGCGTGTTATAAACGCTGTTAGCTTTATGTTGGGGTAACGTATCAAAAGTGTATATTGAGGTACATCATGTTAAATAGTTTTGTCGTACATTACGTAATAATGTGCAATAAGTATCCTAAGTAGAATGCTAATTGGCTAATTACTAAATGCGAACTAAATCAGAACAGTTGGACATGGGTTTCTTCCATTGTAGGAACGATTTAGATGATTTACTCCTTTTTAAAAAGCCGGCAACGCATCTGCAATTCCCCTGGTGTTGCAGTTGTTCATGGGCGGCGGTAGTCACTTACAATCAGGTGAGCCGCATGCTCGTTTGCCCCCTCTCCTATAAAAAAAAAAACATAGTGTAGACGCAGTACGAGCCTCGATATTTTTAATGCTAATTCTCGACGTAGTAATGGCGTAAAATAATTCACTACCACATATTATATCCATGAGTGTCGCAAAAAAACAAAAGAGGGAGGAAGATCGCTCTGTCGCCTCTAACAACACTCATTAATCAGAAACACCTTCATGATAACAGCTTAATAATAATATTAAAATTTGAATCTTATAATGGTATTATTCACTGTACCTAATATATTTTATTTTATCTTATTTATCACTTTTATATATTACATTTATACATCCCAACCAGATGAGAATACTATATAAATATCCCAAGCAATAATAATAAATAAACTGCTTTTTTTCCAAACCGCCTGCACAGTGACAGTTAAGTGTTATTTTGAAAGGCTGTAATGAATTAAATATACCGCCATCTATCGGAAGGGCAACGAATTCTTGCTTCTTATGATAGTCACCGGATGAAATAAGCAAATCAGGTTATGGATTATGGATCCTCTTACATGATACGAGTTTGGCGTACATACATACACTTACAACAATGTAAGTAAATTGTTTTTTTTTTAATATTACCTAGCCTTGAACCTTAAATTGAACCTTAAACTAACGCCTACATAACATGCTTCGTATCCAAATTACAAGTATTTTACATTATTTATATTGAACCTTTACACAGTATCTATATTTTTATGATGAAATATCAACATATGAGTACGTATGGGTCGTAAACTCTAATGCATAAACGCAGTATTACTAAGACCAAAGGAAGCGAAGGCACCTACAGCTCAGGCAACCAACTCCATAACAGTTAAAGGCTTCATAGATAGCAAACAAATATTTAAGGAAATTAATATATTAACTTTGGCATCTCAATACATTTATGAAAATGTAATGTACGTACCCAAAAATAAAATTAGTTTTTCAAAAATAGCTGATATTCATTCTGTAAATACTGGAAACAGACACAAGCTAGTAGTACCAATTCCTCGACTCCACCGAGTCAGTAATTCATTTTTGGGTCAAACCAAAGTCCCAGAAAATCTACAAAGTTTGACCTGCTCAGAATTCAAAAACTTTATTAAACAAAGTTTGTATAAAATGCCAGAGTATTTTTTTTCACAAGCAGTGGTAATTAAACAAAAGAGTGACTTTCAATAAGTATTATTTATTATATATATTGAATAAAAAAAATTACTGTTTCCGTAGCGTTCACAAATATTTTATTGGTCAGTGATACAGGGCACACAATAAATAAATATATTGGGTTCTAAATTGGGATACTAGTCTAAGTCAATTATTATAGAAAATATTAATACGTAGTATTCACTGATTTTATGGAACCCAAAATTGTATGGACTAGACACTATCTCTGTCACTGCGAATGAACACCTTATTCATAATATATCTCAAAAACATCTATTATTGGATAAAAATACTGAATGCACTATACTAATATAATTATATTTTTTTAAAGTAAAAACCTTTTTAAAAACCTAGTTATTTGCTACCCTTAGGGGTAAAAATTAGACTAAAAATTAGACAAATAACTAGAGAAAGTAGCCTTAAACGGAAGAAGCTAGTATGACATTGTTATTGTAATATTATTAATTTATCTTAAAGTATAAAAATTGATGTTATACATCTAGTAAAAAACACTACAAAGTTAAAATAAAAGAGATACCTGCTTATTAAGTATAAATTACTACTATATAAATTATATTAATGACATGTTTAATTCATTTCCAGTTAAATTATTTACAAATAAACTAATTTCGTTAACGTAGTAAACATGTTTGTTATAGGATACTCGTATTCTACCAATGATATAACTCTAATAACTTAAAGTTTTGTTTCAATAAAAACTATCTTGTAAAATGCTCACATACCAAGGCACTTACAATTCAGTAAGAGACTCGATTGAGTGAGACTGAAAAATTGCTATACGCCAGACGTTGTGCTCGCTAAACTTCTGGGTTCCCATTTTATGCGGGCAATATCCGGGCATTGTCGACAGAATAAAATTTCGTATGCCAAAGATAACCCGTGAAATATCATTGACTTCCACAGCTAGCAGAGACATTGAATGATGTGAATTATATCTAAAAAAAATATATTTCCACGTAAACTGACAACTGCGATCTCAATTAAAATACAAGAGAATATTGTAAAATGTAAAATACTAAAAGAAATACTAACGTTTAGCTCATGGCTTTAGTTCGCTATCCGTTTAAACTTTAAGAATTCTGGTTTCATTACTATTCTTTATATATATCGTATTATTACTATATTGTAAGAAACTATTCCACTTCTGATGTTAGAAATTATCTTCACAAGTATTTAAATAAAAGAACACTACTCGGTAACAAACCCTGCCTACTATCAGGACCACAATACATGATAACACCAAAGTATGCAAACCAACAGCATCACTACCCATCTCAGTGTACACAGGGCAGCCTATTAGCGTCACGACTTTCCTTTCCTGCACTAGTAGAATACCCCAACGAGCATAGTAACGACAGTGGGACTCTTAGAATTACAGACTGATGCATCTTAGTCGCCTGTGCTATACTTTATACTGCTAAAACATGTATGAGATTACCATTCTACCTTCATTTGTTCGTATTTCCTTTTATTTTTTTACAATCATTCTCAAAAATATATTATTTGTCTTCGGTATTTTCTAAAAACTCTACAACCAGACGCAATGTTTATTTCTATACTTAGAGCTTTTACTATTAGCGTAATTTCTATTCTTACTAGACCTACTGCCATTCGTCAACAGAGGCTCTGCACTTCCTTTCCTGATTATGATATTTTAAATATCATTTCCGTGATGGTTATTTCACAATCAATACGAATTCATGCAATTGTTTGAAAATTTCCCTGTGTCAGTTTTAGGAGTAATGGATTTTCCTCTTACCACTGAAAACCGTTACCTAACGTATTGATTATTATTTTTATTTGAAAGCCCTTATGATTTGTTTTTCTATTTTATGTCTCACGAATCAAACAATATCTATCGGGAGTTACCTTAATTTATTACAATTTTCCTTTAACGAGGATATACAGGTCTTGTCGTTGCAGAAATTTTATACTAGATGGCGCTGTAGTTAATAATGATATTCTTGTTTATCCTATCCCGGAAAACTAGTACGTCCAGTTGCACGTAACAATATTGTTTGAAATTGGACCCCTCGAAACACTTTAAATAAATTTATTTTATAAATGAACAGTACAATGATCTAAACGTCATGTTTTCTCAGATTGAAATTGAAATAGTAAAACGATAAAAGAATATCAATATCATGATCGCACTCCATCGAAATTCCTGCTTAATATAGACCGCCAAGACTGTCATAAAGCACTGCAAAGCCGGTATGTCGTTGCTACTCAAGAAATTTTCTTCCCTATAGGTTCTTCGAGCTATATGGACAGCTCATTGCCACTTCAGCTTACTAATTCGCTGGGTTATCTCACTCTTATCCTTCTGCGGATATCTTCGTTACAGATTTTATCCTCTAGAGAAATTCCGAACATAGCCCCTTCCATTGCACGCTGAGTGACTGCGCTTCCTCATACGGCCAGCAGGACCACGTTTCAGTTCCGTAAGTAATCACTGACAACAAGCTTTGGTTTGATTAGACTTGGACTTAATAATACAAGTTATTTAATATTCAGTTTGTTTGACATTTCTTCCGTTCATTTGTTGTTAGCATAAACTGAATGCGTCTTATTACAAAACGATGTCGATGTACAATTAGGTAATACACATATATATATATAGATACATAATTGTGCACTGAATAAAACCCAAACGACGTCAATATTTCTTATTTCTCGAAATATGCTAGGCGAAAACTAATCACGAACGTTTATAATATGAAAGTACATAGTACTTAGTATGTACTTACACAGACAACTTCCTGAAAACCATAGCTTCTGACTCTAGAGACCTTAAAACGTGGACATATGCTAAATTTTGAACTTATTATAACAATAAACACCTACTGGGAAATTAATAACAACCATTACTTAAGTAATAATTTAACCATGTTTAGCCAAGCGTGAGAAAATTAACACCTGAAACGAAATCTAATCGATGTATGTTATAAATAATCATTGTTACGAATGGATGTCTAAACGCTGATCCTTTGTCTGAGCGAAAGTCTATGTGGAAGTATGAACAAAATGTAAACACTGAACATCTGTCTTCGCGTAAGCAAAGACAGCTTTGCGCAAGAGTGTTGTTACTTGACCCTCTCTTGTCACTTGTCGGAGCTTCTAACAGTGCTCTACTTTTGTTGAGTTCTGCAATTCACTACCGTCATATTGCAGACATTGTGTTAATTTTATTTTTATTGTGCTCGGACAGAAAAATTATTGTAATCTCAAAATTACAAATATTTAGAAAACTTAAAACGTCTGCTTACTCACAATTGGGATAATTGACGAAGTGTCACATTAGTTCTAATATCCACCTGCAAACAAAACTTAATTTGTAGCAGGATTTCAGATCTTACTACGTTTATAATAAATATCTATCACTCATCATCTGTCACCAACCCGCCTGCCAAGGAATTATCACAAATAGACAATGTATGAGGTAGGTCTATGCTATATTCTATCTCAATATTCAGCAGTGGACTTTTGGTAAGCTGTAATAATGCTGATGTTGACTATGACTCACTCTAACTTGACAGTATTTGATACAAGACATAATATACAGTAATTTACCAGTAAAAATTAAACATTTCGGATTCTGACTTGGACGTAGTCGGATCGAATCCAACTCACATTTGGACCGAAATGAGATATTTATACCAAATTTAGAGTCTCAACTTTCATAAAGTAAAATCAATTCAAACAAATCTCAAATTCGATAAATAAATCAAACTTCCAACAAATAGGAGTCGATATCACTGATCCAAACTTCCAAATGTCAATATCTCAAAGGTAGGTTTTCGTTCTGTCAAATCAAATAAATGAACGTGCCATGAGTTTCGGTGGCGACGCAGTTCGGAAATAAAGGCTGTCATGGAGCCTTCATATGACATCACAACACTTTATTAAATATTCGTGTATGTGAAAAACCGAGAACATAACAATTATTGAGTCTTTATCTTGTTTACGGTTTACTCATATACAATCGTGAAACAAATCAATGGACGTGCACGAAAAAAAATTTAATTTACTTATTTTCCACAATAATTTATAATAAAGGATTTTTTTATTATATGGAACTTGTTAAACAAAATGTCATAACATAAGTGGTGCTCTATCTCTCCGAAATCACTTTATAAAGTATATATTTAAAAAATAACGGATAAAAATGTAAATTTAAAAAGTATAAATTTAAAAAACAAAAATGAAAGATTTCCTTATTTATAATATGCGATATTGCTTCGACTTGTAGGATATCATGTCTATTGAAAATTTTAGTACAAAATGGTGAAAATCCTAATAACTTTTCCATCTAAATCCAATCGCACTGACGGATTTATTTATCTTATTTTTTTATTTATCTAAAAATTTTTTCAGTGAAATATTTAACTCCGAATATTAAAAATAAGAAATATTTGTTTTGGTTTAAGATTTTATCATGCTACTAAAAGAACCGCGCTTGGAATCTATAATAACTTTTAAATTCGAATGGTTATGCCGAAACAACGACAGAGTAAAACAATTTTTCTTCCTTTTTAATATTTATGTACTTTATAGAAAAACCACTTCATTCAAGTAATATGATATAATTCAACGCTTTTACGTGCAAACTACCGACTTCAAAAAGGAGCCGGTACCCACTTAGACTATATTTTTGTTTTTATGTGTGTTACCTCATAACTTTTTACTGGGTGAACCGATTTCGATGATTCTTTTTTATTTGAAAGCTGGTGCTTCACATGTGGACCTATATAAATTTGATCAAGGTCTGACCAATAATTTTTGAGTTATTCTAAATAATTTATATTAACGTCGGTTGTACAATTTTTTTAAATTTTATATTATACTAACACAGGTCATAAACCTTACTAACTAAAAGTTATTACCATACAAGGACATACATACCTTGTTTACTAAGTTGTTATCTCAGTAACAATAGAGATCAAAGATAACTCATACATTTTACTTTAACGATATCGATCGTTATAATTCTATAAAAGAGCTTTACGAAGCGTTCATTGTACACTGTGTTTATAACTTCGCGATCTAAGTGAACTAGATGTTTGATACACCCATTAAAAGTATGAACAAAGAACGCTCGTGTTAGCTTCAAATTAAGTGTGAAATTTTCACCGTAGAAAATAGGCCTCATTAAAAGCTCGCACACCTTTTATTACAGAGTCCATACCGTACTACACTTAACATTTCTTAAAACTGTGCATCATACGCATCTGCAGAATTATTTCGTGAATTCACGGGATTGCATATTGATATCCCGATTATTCCGATGATATCCCGGACGTCAGTCTGAGCGAGATTAGAATGGCTCTCCAGCACCTTAAAAACGGCAAGGCCCCAGGCGAGGATGGAATTACAGCGGAGTTTCTGAAAGCGGGTGGAAAACCGGTACTTGAAGTCTTTCAGAAGCTCTTTAATTCCGTCCTCCATGGTGGCATTACACCGGAGGCGTGGAGCAGAAGTGCGGTGGTCTTGTTCTTCAAGAAAAGCGACAACGCTCTCTTGAAGAACTACAAACCGATTTCCCTTCAGAGCCGCGTCTACGTGCTGTTTTCGAGTCATTACGAATCGTCTCGCGCGCAGTCTTGATGACTTCCAGCCTCCCTAACAAGCCGGTTTTCGAAAAGGCTTTAGCACCATAGACCTATCCAATTGCAGAGAGGTGTAAGACAGGGTAAGGTCATATCACCGAAACTCTTCACCGCTGCATTGGAAGACGTTTTCAAGCTTCTGGACTGGAAAGGATGCGGTATCAACATCAGTGGCGAGTAAATCACTCACCTTCGATTTGCCGACGATATAGTCCTTATGGCAGAATCGCTGGAGGACCTAAGCACTATGCTCAATGACCTCAGTAGTGCTTCTCAACGGATAGGTCTTAAGATGGACATGGACAAAACAAAGATCATGTTTAATGCCCATGTTAGCTTCGAGCTTAGTGCTCCCAACAACTACCTATGCCGGTAGATGTTGGGAGCACTAAGCTCGAAGTTGTTGACGAGTATGTTTACCTGGGACAAATAGTCCGACTAGGTAAGTCCAACTTCGACCGAGAGGTCAATCGACGGATTCAACTCGGTTAGGCAGCGTTCGGGAAATTACGACACATCTTCTCGTCAGATATACCTCAAAACATGAAAACTGTACTGACTGTACAATCAGTGCGTGTGGCAAGTGATGACATACGGAACTGAGACGTGGTCCTTCACTGCTGGCCGGATGAGGAAGCTCAAGGTCGCTCAGCGGGCTATGGAAAGGGCTATACTCGGAGTTTCTATGCATGATGAACTCAGAAATGAGGATATCCGCAGTAGAACCAGAGTGACCGACATAGCCCAACGGATTAGTAAGCTGAAGTGGCAATGGGCCGGCCATATAGCTCGAAGAACCGACAACCGATGGGGAAGAAAGATTCTCGAGTGGCAGTCTCGTACCGGCAGGCGAATTGTTGGGCGTCCCCCCACTAGATGGAGTGACGACCTGGTAAGATATGCAGGAAGTCGATGGACGCAGGTGGCTCAGGACCGTGCTTTGTGGCATTCCTTGGGGGAGGCCTATGTTCAGCAGTGGACTTGTGAAGGACTGTAATGATGAATGATGATGATGATGCATATTTATAATTTAAAATTAAAAATTTTATACAACCGACTTCAATATAAATTATTAAGAATAACTCAAAAATTATTGGCCAAACCTTGATGAAATTTATATGGGACCACATGCGAAACACCAGCTTTCAAAGAAAAAATCTTCAAAATGAAAATCATCGAAATCGGTTCACCCAGTAAAAAGTTATGAATAAAACACACATGAAAAAATACAGTCAAATTGAGTACCGGCTCCTTTTTGAAGTCGGTAGAAAAGATGCAATTTCGAAACATGAAGCGATACGAGTTGGTTAAGTGTTATGAAAAATCAAGTTTGAATCCACTATTTTGAACCACTCATAGCATAAGTATTAAAAAATTGAATTATTTAGTAAATGGAAGTATGTATTAGAAATGATGATAAAAGCAGTTTTGTTAAAAATAAAGGAAATAATAAAAATATAATTTTCGTCAACACAAAAATTCACAGAAGTAGGTACCTATTTGTGTCACTTTTCTTGTTTATTTTAAAACTATGAAGCAATTCAAAACAATATCTACAATTTAGAAATGCTTTTTTTCTATGTTAAGTGACACGTCGTTTTAGAATTTAACGTAGAAACTAGAAAATGTAACTAACAAAAAAAAAATACCAAGTTGATTTTTCAAGCATACCTTCTTACTTCAGGCGAGGTGGGTAGACTCCTTGATTTTCTGCTTTTGCTATGATGCCGAGAGTGCCCTTGTCCGGAGTTCGCGTTGCCCATGGTTGAACAATTATCCCCCGCTTTTTAAACTGCACTTCATATCACGAAACAATGGAGACTTAACGTAAACATTTCTCTTTAAAACAAATCACTACACTTTTTCTGCCCGAATTTTAGTTTTGTTCGATGGTTTTCACACATTTTGCAAAACGTATTTAATTGACACTGTTTTTATTCAAATTTCATTAATACCCACATTTTTTTACTTTCCAAGTGTTCTAGTATCATAATAAGTGATATATGTAGCGTCAAAGTACGGTAAATACATCGTCGCTTTAAGAATTAAAAAAAAATCTATTAAAATAAAATTATAAAGTCAAGAAAAAATGTCTAGTTTTATTCTCTAACTTCTGCATAAAATTATGAAGTAATTCTAGTAATAGTAAGTAACATGTTTATTATTTGCTTTGCATGTAAGTGAGCTATACGCATATAATACCGTTGGATCAGATTCCGCCGATAGTTGAAACCCATAGCACAGTATTAATATTATTCCATAGACATAAGCAATAGCAATAGAGTTCAGGCTTACTCCACAAATGCCAATGCGGGCAGTCGCTGCAGCATTATTCGAATATCAGAGGTCGTAGCCGTTGCTTGTAACTGACAATATTACCTACTCAAAGAAACAATGCTATCTATATCTATACAATTAAATACTCTACTACAACTTAAAAACTCAAATTTCAGCTTTACCCAAATCTGACAATCCTGCTTTTATTTTTTGTCAACTCACTGGTAGTGATAGTGTTAAGAAAAGTATTGTTGAGGTCAATTCTGATGCAGTTCATATTTGGACTTCGAAGATATGACCATGTCTCCGAATTTATAAATGAAATAATTACTACCTACTCATTTTTCCTTACGTTAAGGCTTTGACTTCACTTACTTGTTTAATCCTTAGTTGTTTAAGTATATGTATGTCTACATTATTGTATTTAAAATGTATTTATTTATTGTAGTATGTATGTATTTATCGATTATCTATACTCTATAACAATAAATAAAATTTAAGTGTCTGTTTGTAATGTCAAAGTAACAACTTTTTACTAATTGCATATGAAAGTATATACGGTACTTATAACAAAAACACAATTTTTGAAAAAATTGTCTGTATGTCTGTTTGTTCCGGCTAATCTCCGAAATGGCTGAACCGATTTTGACGGAACTTTGACTGGCAGTTAGCAGTTGTTATAAGGAGTAACTTAGGCGACTTTTATTTTAGAAAAAGAATTCGGGTTCCGTCTAAAAAAGAATGGAAACCCATCTAATCTAATCGTAATAAATTCCACGCTGACGAAGTCGCGGGGAGCAACTGGTTTATTATTAAACTAGCTCTGCCCCGCGACTTCGCCCGCGTGGAATTTATTACGATTAGATTTTATGATATTTTTTTGCGCGGAGCCCTAATATTTTTTTCTAAAATAAAAATATAATAAAAGTAGCCTTAGTTACTCCTTATAACATTAGCTATCTGCCAGTGAAAGTCCCGTCAATATCGATCCAGTCGTTTCGGATTAGCCGGAACAAACAGACAGACATAGAGACAGACAGAATTTTTTTTTAAAAATTGTGTTTTTGTTATATACACCGTATATACTTCCATATGCATTTAGTAAAAAGCTGTTATTTTGACATTACAAACAAACACTTCAATTTTATTTATTTGTATAGATTAAACTAGCTTTACGCCTCGCGATTTACCCGCGTCGAAGTCATTACAGAAAAATCAACCTATAACACGAAAATTTTCTCATAGTTAGGAATGACAATCATTTTTAATTAGACAAACATCCTATTACAATCTCTCATGGTGTGAATTTTCCAGGCAAGGCAATGACTGTCCAAATTTCAGATTTTTACGTCTAGCGGTTTGGGCTGTGCGTTGATAGATGTGTCAATCGCTCAGGACATCCTCTTAGATTGAATGTAATGACAGCTTAGAAAAGGGGACCAAACGATTAGTTATTATTGTATCGTCATTCCAAGGAAGACAATGGAAAAAAACGTAATTACTGTCGGTCACAAACAAAAAAGTTTAGAGTTTACCTTGCGTACGTACATAGATAGGTACTTTTAAACTTATTGTGATATCACAACGTTGACAAACTAAAGCCAGTTTCTGTTAAGTTCTATAGCGTTTGTTATACGTTTGTAGGAAATTGGACCTCTAGTTATTAAGTGGATCCAGTGTAAACGGAGCATTGTTGGTCGTGCTGGAATTGAGTAAACTATGGTTTAAATGCATTATCAGAATTATCATAGCGGGTGCAGTCCGGCTCTGCTTAGTAGAGCGTAGATTGCCTACATACATAGATTACTCTGACAAAATTACAATCGTTTTACTTGCGAATTTTGTGATGCAAATGTTATTAAATAGTTATTTGAACAAAACATTAAAACTACTTATTATTTTGTATTGCTTTCAACCTATAAAAAAATAAGATGAAGTTCTTTTACGTGGTAGTGCCACGCATAGTACAGAATGGGTCGGCTCGACCGGGGTAGGACCAAGCTCTCACAGCATAACAGCGTGAAATAGCAGCTTGATGCTGCTGTATTATGTGTGTTAACTGTAGAGAGCCGGAGATTTTTCTTTTACTGGAAAAGAGGCATTTCATCTTAGTCCTCACGGGTGACAACGCATCTGCATTTTGATTCGCAAACTAGGGTAGATGTAGATGTCTATGGGCCACAGCAACCACTTACCAACAGGTGGACTGTGTGCTCGTTTGTCAGCCTATCTTATATAAAAAAAATAATTTTTGAAGGGACTGCAACTAATAGATACACGCACCCAACTTGAGCCAAAAAAGGTCACAGATGCGCCTTTTTAACCTGAAAACTAAGATAAAACGCTTCAGATTTTATTCTCCTATCCTACAAGTCAGAACACATCAATTTGTGTACTGCTGCTCGACAGTACAATTGGGTAAGAAGTTCCTAGATAGAACAGGAACGCTACCACCTAGTGAATGATTGACTTCACATGTCTTCGAAATATATTGATTTCAAGGCGTAGTCTACTTACGATGGTTTACATCTCTTGTTTTACACATTTTTTTATAGGATAGGGTGACAAACGAGCACACAGTCCACCTGATGGTAAGTGGTTACTGTGACCCATAGATATCTACATCTATCCTCAATAAAGACTCAGGATGCAGATGCGTTGTCACCCGTGAGGACTAAGATGGAATGCCTCTTTGCCAGTAAAAAGGGTCTCCGGTTCTCTACACTCACCGTACGAAACACAGCAGCGTTAAGCTGCTATTTTACGCTGGTTTTCTGTGACAGCGTGACCCTTCCCCGGTCGAGCCGACTCATTCGTGCTACAACTATACTACTAATATAGCTGCAGCATGGCTCTACCACGTATACGTTTATAACGGCACAAAAATTAAAGTAAACGAACTTTATGAAACTAATCAGCGCAGTCGAATTATCTAATTTTGAATCGAATGACTGCAAAGCCGACATAATATTAAATACAGATTTATTCTTCTTATCTTTAAGAAGAATGACCGCTATATAGTATACTAACTAAAATGCCCCTATTATTCTTTATTTTAAGGGACTTTTTACTTTTTTAATTTTGTAGAGGGCTGTCGTAATAACAATAACATTGTAACTACATTATTAACGTATAAAAATTATTTAAAAAGGAAATGTATTCGGAACTTTATTTTTATTTTTTTGACAATTACGTAAAAATCTTAGTACGGATCAACTCAAGTTAGATTTTTTTTTTTTTTTTTTTTTTTGCGCCCGAAGCAATTGGAAAAGGGCTACCACTGAGGGAGGCGGAAAATGCATTATGCATACCACGACAGCCGGTCTGTCCTGGTTATGTGGGACTCACTGCCTACCGGGGGACCTAAGTGATACCCACTAAAAACCGCCTTTGGGGACTGGCAACTAGCTCTATTAAAGCTGCATATGCCGTATCTAAAGCGACCCTCTTTTGGGAAAAGAGGGCGCAGACGGCCAAGTGCCGTTTAGGGACTGCCTACGAAGGCATATTATTAATTTTAACTAATTTTTAATTTAATTAGGATTGGCCTGAGCCGCCAGGAGGCAGTTCAGGTCGTTTGACAACTTATTTGGCGGGTCCAAGAGAGTGTTTCTTGGCCTGCGGACGCTATAGCGAGAAGGGAGTGGGGCGGTATAAGTAACTGCCTCACGAATAAGTGTGTTAGTATGCGACTCTGATACTTTAAAGAAGTTTTCAGAGAATTTTTTAAGACATTGCTGGATTGTTGGGATTTCTAAATCCCGGTGAAGGTCGGCATTACGGACGTACCAAGGTGCGTTCGTAGCTCGACGACAGAAGAGGTTTTGAACTACTTGGAGTTCGTTAATAATTTTATCGTTAGCGTGTGCAAAAATAGGAGCCGAGTAAGTCATAACCGGTCGTATACAAACCATATAGAGGGTTCGCTTATTTCGCAATGACATTTTGCTATGTCTGCCTAACATACTGTTAAGCCGACCTAAATAGAAACGTGCTAGACGCGTTACTCTTTTGACATGAGACTCAAAAGTAAGCCTATAGTCAAGGGTGACGCCTAAATATTTTGCTGACATGTGCCATGGGACAGGGGTCCCTAGCATTCGTATAGGTGGAGTATTTTTCTTGTTTTTATTACGGCGTCTTTTAATATCGAATTGAACTGCGGAGCTCTTCTCCGGGTTCACATCGATACGCCATTTTTGGAACCAGTCTCCTAGGTCATCGACTGACTTTTGGATCTTGTTCCTTGCTGAAGATATTCTAGGACTTTTGAAGTATAGTGCAGTGTCATCTGCGAAGAGTGAGAGCTGTACACCATTCGACGGGATAGGAATGTCGTTGGTGTACAAGATGTACAGGAGGGGAGCTAGTACTGATCCTTGAGGAACACCAGCTTTAATGGGGCGCTGAGAGGATAACGTGCCTTCGTGTCTAAAACGAAAGGTACGATGTTGTAAATAAGAGGCTACGAGACGTACTAGACGAT